GATACAGCCATAGCGAGGGGGCAGACTGGATCTTTGAGGTTGTCAAAAGGACATCAGCGCGGCCACCATGTCAGCGGTCTGTTATGTTCACGAGAGCTCTGAAAGGAATAATTAAAAGCTTCAAGCCCTCGACCGATGAGGATCCAGTGGACTACATTCACTAGGGACAAAGGCGATCAGAGAAATTTTGGAACCCGTTCAACGGAAGTCGACGATTAATGGGAAATATGTTATATAAATTATAAAGGTGATGGAAAGGGCATCAATCTCTGCTAAAAGTGGCACAGTCATCCTTCCTCTTACATTTCAAAACTGGAAACAAATGAAATGAAAAGAATATAAAAGAGGTTCAAAACATACTCATGCGCAGTTTTCGTATGAGAATTCCAAACAAACTGTAGCAAATGATTAGTAGTATGCATACTGTAGCGACAATTTTGACACACGTTTCACTAATAGGTGGACGCAGCGGCGTTACCATTGTGCAGATGACGTTTCTTAAAGTCAAAATGAGTAGTTCAGTGTTTATTCACTCACTAAATTAACCAAAGGTAACTTACTGGTCAGGAACCCTCACAAGAATTGCCAACACATCAACAATGACTCCAAACATCCACCCTGGCAGAAGTTGTACAGTTACATACGCCTTACCGTATTGATTGATTAGAACATTGCTAAATTTGAGAATGTAAGACATCGCTATTACCTGATGCCATGCATTGGAAGTTTCGCGATCGCTATAAAAGCACAGTTTGGAATAATTTTGGGTGTATGGTTTCACACGAATAATAGAGTTGATAATCCGGAAAAAGTAAAGTAGGAAAGAAAATGCGAAATTTTGTGTGCTCAGAGAAACATCGGGCTTCCAATTAGTAGAAAGATTTAGTAGATTAGACGAGAATGAAACGACAAACGCTCAATGGAAAGGGTCTTTGGACGAGCTACTTGAATTGTATAAGACATGAGTACAGCTGGCTACAGTAAGTTGCTTCATGTGAAGTAGTTAACTAGAATTGGTTACCCGCGTGCGAACTATTGCACTTGAATTTGAGAGCCATGTCCACGTACACAGAAGGAGCAGCATTTTTTTTGACAAGAGCAAAACTTGGCTTTCGAAGGAAAGAGCAAGTTTGTGATGACGTCATATTATCACGTTTTCATAAAACTATTCCCACCCAAACATGTAATGCATCAGGATTGATCTCGCTCAGGGAGGATAAGAACTAAGAAAGGAAAAGAATCTCAAGAAACTCGCTATGAAGTTGTCAGCGATAGATGTCTGTCTACTGCCAAGTTGAGAAGGAGCATCGCTGATAAACACTGTCCAAAGCAAGGCACAATTTGAAGATAGACGCAAATATCTTGCCGTATATGGTGGTCATCATACCTGAAAGCGTTTGATTAATTCGAAAATCCAGTTTCCAAATTGATTTCGTTCATGACATTATTGCGAGGTTATGAGAAATATGCTTATGATCGGTTCAGCAATTCCGTGTGTAATCTTTTCGATCAGATGTGATGCTTTTGTAAAGTTTTACTATATTGGTATTTTTTTATTATTTTCATGATTTGATTTTTATTGTGATTTCGTGTATGATATTATTCCAAGGTTATTGGGATGTGTTCATACTTTGTGAGGCGATTCCGTATGTAATATTTTCAATGTACGTAAGGTACATGTTTTAATAAATAAATAAATGAGGTGTGAGATGAATATGCTCAAGTTCTGCGATGACTTGTTATCGCGTTGAGTTGATTGCTAGTATGTCTTAGTTTTCACGACTGTAAATCGATCCTATTAACATGCATAAGTGGGGAAGTAATGAAAAGCATTGAAGACTTACATGTTGTACGTAGCAGCACTTATGAAGAAAGAAAATAAACATAACGTCTCCCAGAGCGATTAAGTCAATAAAAATGTTGCAGGGATTCCGTAGCTTTCTGAAAAAGAATATTCAGTGTAGATTCCTACGCTTCGATCATTTAACAAAAAATGAACAAAATGACACTATCATGTCACAGTGTCTCAGATAGAGAGGCAAATTAGCAGTAGGCTCTCTTACTTGATGAACTTTGAGCTTAAAGAGACCGAGGTGGGTTTACATCGATGAAATCTTTTGCGATTCCCCTCTGACTCGAAGTTCGTTGTACTACCCTTGCATGATAAGCCATTAGCCAAAAACTGCAGTTAAAACGAGTTGAACAAAGCAAATATCTTCATTGACAGGAAAAGTCTCGGTATGGCAGCCAATACTGACGCTCGTGCCCGTGTTCTTCTTTTGCTCATGTACTCTACCTACAGCAATTTTTGGGCTGCTCGGCTGACAGTCATCAACGAGAGCATAAATGATGCAGCGGAAAATGATAAACATCAGGAAGCAGAACCTTCCAAATCCACAGTTCATGCACATCATTCCTGCGGGCTTTTGGAGTATGGTTGAAGTTCTTCCATCCCTGGTAGGCATTTCTGATTTCCGTGAGCTCACATCAAACTTTCAGTCAGTTTTTCTTTTGAAGTTTAAGTTATAGAAAACGAGTTTGAAGAATTTATTAAGCACTTAAAAGCTAAGATTAAGTTCCAACTGACCTCGATACCACTGTCGCATATACGATAAGTGTATTTCCAAAAAGACTTATAGTCGGCACTACAATATAAATAACTTCGAGAGGAATTGAAGCCTTGTCTGGATACATGACGAAGGGGTCGTTTCTAAAAATTTCTCCATGTCCATTTTTGTTTTCAATGAGTTGTTCACGTCAAGAAGAGCTTGCAGATCTGTACAAATGAAAGAGCTAAACCATTTTATTTAAGGGGCCCATGGAAGGAAGCCCATGGGTAGCTCTCCGCCCTACATAATTTTTTTTCCTGGCATCAGTAAGTTTACATTCCTCTTACAGAAAAAGAACTGTGCGCTTCTCAGGACCGTTGTGGCAATTGCTGTGATCGTAAGCTTGGATTGAAAGGACCGTGGCAAATATGTATGAAATACAATGAGATCGCTATTGTTATGGAGAGTAAGGATTAAAAATCTGTCATTGACGTTTATGCTAGTGCTCTTCATGGAAGTGTGCAGGTCGGTGCTCCAAGTTGAAAAAAAGGCTTGAGGAGACTCAAAATTCAGATAAACTTGATGAGGCAAACAGACTCAAAATTATATTATTATGCAATACATTACTCCAGTTAGCTGTTACCCAATAAGGGGTTGTTATACTGGAGTTAGGAGGTTGTTTGCTTCCACTGGAAAAGCAGCCTGGATGATATGAAATTGTATATTATCAGTATACGGAACCCCAAAATATACGGGTGAAAGCCAAAAGACTGGGAAGGTTCTCAATTTGTAGAATGCAAGACGTGCCTGTATTCCGTCTACAGCCTCCTCGGAAGATTGAAATGTATTTCCGTGAAGAAAAACGCAAGTACAAAACCATTTTATAGCGTTGTTTTTAAAACATGGCGCCACATTCTGCTTGAGAACCAGGAAAACAAACAAGTTGTTTTTTAACAAAACGTTTTGTAGCGTTTTTGTAGAAATTGGCTCTATACAATAATAATAATACGTAGTGCTGTACGAGTATTGACGAATTGCGAGAAAAACAAATATTCCTAAAGACAGCAAGATTTATTAGTGGAATTGCAAGATTCACAAAGGAATGAATCTCCCTTACACTGAATTTTGCTTTTTTATGCGTTTGATGATCCCTCTTTTGGGTTATGGGTGCAAGTCTGTTCTATTGTCACTCAAACTCGACTCTCGACACGATCTCAATGCCGCTGTAGCGAAGTTACTCATAAGTTATGAGTAAGGACCTGCTGTTTGGTTAATCTATTTTTTCTGATTATTTACCTTTATTACAATTTTGGAAGTTTAACCTATAATATGCTGTTTCAAATCCACTCTAAGTGTCTCTGTATAAAGTGTTTGAACTAAACAGTTTTTGTAGCCCGGGGCCTCGTTTTGACCAAATATCTGTCTGTCGCTGTTCCTGGTGACAGTACCGATCTGGTTATTCCTCATGTATTCAATATTTGCAATGGTTGAGCTCACACTTGGCGGCTGATGAACTATTTCCATGATCCTCTGTGTATATGAAACTAGTCCAGCAAGCAGTGGTATGATGAAATAAGAAGTCGGCCAATATTGTTTACATGGACACCCTA